CGATTGCCCGCAAATACAAAAAGTGCAATACTTTGATTGTTTTGATGATAAGACAAATTATTGGCATATGCATTGAATCTTTTAGTAATCTAGATTTCAATATTTGCTCAAAATGTAATACAAGTTCAGAAGCAAGTTCAATTAATGAAATACTATAGGGTGTCAACTCTCTTTAGATATTAGCACATTAATTCTAAATCTATAAAGTGTAATTTTTAGATCTCTTCCCACTTAAAAACGGATTAACTCTTCAAATATTTTTATATAATTAAAAATAATTTTTTTTTCAAAATTTAATGATTACAGTCAGCAAGCAAATGTTCTTGATATGGCAAAGAAAACTATTTACTTCTGTCTAAATTAATACATATGCTGTACCAAAATTTTCTCTTTCATTTTTCATGCAAATTCAATACAATTGATTGAGTTTGCTCAAATAATTTTAATCTAACAAGGATTATAAAACACTCATCAAACATATTTCATCTTCCAAATAATTATTCATATACAAAACCTCATCAAACAAAATTTTGGGATCTATCCTCCCATGAAATAGCAAGGCATCAATTTTTTACTTTCTTAACTATTTCATCACCCAAATCACATATACAACACATTTTATCGCCATAGGTTAAATTGTCATATGGCCAATAAGGTCTAATATTTTGAGTATTTCAGCTATGTACCGAAGTTAAATTCAAATGAGCCTATTCATTTATAGGACTAAATTTAACATCCCAATGATTAGATTACCGGATTGAAAATAAGAGCTTTTCGAAATATAATTTTTCCATTAACAAATTGCATATACTGTCTCATTTAATCAAATTTATGAATCACTTCAATTAATTGGGTTCGCAAACTTTCTTATATTACATATTTGTGTTGATCTATTAATAAGAACTTAACTTTGAAACCACAAATAGTTGGCATTATGATGTAAACTTGAGTTCAGATACCAAATTTAATGTAGAAAGATCCAAGATCCAGATTTTCTAATCCGATTTAGCATGCCATACCAATAAAAAAAGTTACAAACATAGGAACAATTGAAAGAACAAGCAATTAATCCATAATATCTATTTACTCAATTTGAGAATAAAAACTATAGAATCAATTTCAGGTGAAGGATATATGAGCTTCTACTAGAAATTAAATGACTTGAACAAATGATCCATAAAGCCACAAACTTGATTAAGATTCCATGCAATTCAAAGAGATTTAAATCATAGCTAATGTGCTCATGCATAATCCCACTTTTAAAATTAATGAAAATAAAAAGAAGAAGAAAAATATAAAAAAGAAGGAACAGAAATAAAAAAACCGTCACCAATGATAGGAGATATTCTCTCCAAAATTTCTTCAGTCCCGTATAAAATCAAAGAATTGACCCTATAGAGGAGACAGATTTGCAAATCCAAATAGAAATTTTACACATTCAATATCTGATGTATATGTCATGTATCCCTTCTATAATCACAAAATAATCCAGAAAACAACTATCATTGACTTCAAAAGAGGAAGCGTCACAATAAAGCACTAGTAAGAACATGCAAATATTGATAGATATCGTTAAAAAAAAGCCTAAGCAACTTATGCCATTGTCTCACTAGGACCATTAACATAAAGCCGACAAAAGATCCCTGAGAGCGACATCTAGAAAGAATGCCTAGATTAGATTGGAATAATGTATAGAAAAAACATAAAGCAGCTGCATAAATTACAGTCCTTCGAAGGCTGGAACAAAGGAAAATGCTAAAAAAAGAAAAACCAAGGATATAACAACTTCGACTCCTACTGCGATCCTTAATGCTAAGTTAATATCATATGAAAGTTAATGCAAATTCCTTGCTCAACTAAAATTTAAAATACAAAATATATAATTTAACTTCTAATTTTGTAAAGTTGAAGTATCAACTTATTGTCATTACAAAAAAGTTTGTAAACTTTAAGATTCACAACAGTTAAGGATCACCAACCTATGGAATCAATCTATGAAAATAATAAATCTTTGAAGAAACTAGATGTAGGATGGAATGAATTGATTTTAATGGGTTTTAGTCCTATACAAAATGTTGATAAATTCTAGAGAGAAATGTTGACCATATAATGCAATGGAGTGCATCAGCTAATTGGAAATCTCTAAGTATTGTTTAAAGGCATGCCAAACAGTAACCAAACTAGGCAAACTAAAATATAGATTCCAAAATTTCCTTGAGCTTGTCAACTGAGATATCCATATTTCTGAACAGAAATATTTACATAATTCAAAACATTAAATTGTGTGGCAAGCTAAGAGAACATGGCCTAAGGACAACATCAATGATGTATGTCTAAGAATTGACAGTGACTCTAGTCTCTTAAAAGCAAGCTGAAACATAAAATCTGAATTGGGAGATGGCTTATGAGTTAGCGCACCTTAAGAAAATGTGGTATATTATTTGAGCATATGTAAAGAAAATGGCCAACTGAAAATATATGGCAACCATAGATTAAAATATCATTAGATAGACATTATTGTTATGCCTTAATGATAGGTTTAGATGTTTATTAATCTTATAAATTACTTTATCAGATATTATAACAAAAATGATATGATACGTTATCATACTATTTTGAATGTTGAAAATGACCATGAATGTCAAGATACACCCATATTAGCCATGTCCAATTAAGTGTACTTAAAGTACTTCAAATACTTGCAAAAGGAAAATAGCATACTAGCATGCACATCATACTATCATTTGATCTAACTCATATATATATATATACATATACACACATATGTACGTATATATGTATGTACACATACGTACATACATATATATATATATATATACATACATACATACATATATATATATATACATACATATCTATATATATAGATATATGTATATATACATACATACATACTTGTATGTATATATACATGCATACATACATGTATGTATATATACACACATCTCTATATATATACA